AAAAAAAAAAAGAACACTAAATGAAATGTACATGCCATATACCATAAAAAGTAGAGCATTTCCTTTTAGTATTTTCAGGGAAACAGCACACAGTCAACTGTGCCCTACTTATGAGGTTTTTTTGGTGTCTCACTATATTGGCTCAGGCTGGTCTTGAACTCCTGGCCTCATATGATCCTCCTGCCTCAGCTTCCCAAAGTGCTGAGACTACAGGTATAAGCCACTGCGCCAGGCCAGTTCTTAACATTTAAAGAAGTATCTGCTCTTGACCACGTGCAGAGTTAGTTTAAATAAACTGGGTTTTTTCATTTCTATTTCATAGATGAAGAAACTCAAAGCTCAGTTCATACCTAAGGTAGTTGTTAGGTGAGTTGCCCATGGTTACAACAGCTAATAAAAAGCAGAGTGAAGATTCTCACGCAGGCACTAAATTATCTCCTCCAGTTCCTGATTAGATCAGTAGTCTAAATTAAGTTCGAAATGCTGTCTATGGCAAAATACTGCAAAATCCACCGTTTATACACAGATCATGTCTGTGCTGCCCCTCTATGTATGGCATCCTAATCAAAAAACTGGTCACAGAGACAGCTTCTATCATCACTTATCATTTCCCTTTTTAATTTTAGATTTTGGGAAGACTTTATATAGCATATGAAAGGCAGCTAAAAAGCTGAAAATAATCAAGACAGAGATTTACAGAGATAGGAATAAAAAACAAGGGAAAACGTGGTTGTATAAACACTACCCAGAGGACACAGGAGCACACTGTAAAACTGAACAAATCCTGAGCTGACCCTCTCCTTCATTTACTAACTACATGATGCTGAGCAAGTAAACTGATTTCCCTAACAACACAAAGCTTGACTGAAAGATCTTAATATGTATACAATTTTAAACTGCTAATTAAGAAGCAAAAACAAGGGAGGCCAAGGTGGGAGGATGACTTGAGCCCAGGAGTTTGAGACCAGCCTAGGCAATATAGTCAGAACCCTCATCTCTACCAAAAATTGCCGGGTGTGGTGGTGTGTGTCTGTAGTACCAGCTACTTGGGAGGCTGAGGTGGAAGGATCACTGAAGCCAGGGAAGCCAGGGCTGCAGTGAGCCATGATCGCAGCACTGCACTCCAGCCTGGGCAATAGAGCAAGACCCTATATTTTAAAAAAGCGGCAGCAGCAAAACAAGCTGATCTTGATACAAGTTCTACACTGGAAAACAGCAAACTAGTAAAGTATGCAACTATCAACATATTTATATCATGCATGTATTGTTACTTACCTTGTGCAAATGCCGAACGTGATTTTCCAAAAAAATCTTAGTTTCTGTATAAAGTCTTTCTCCAAGGGGTTCAGGATAGGCCACACATAAAGCATAGATATCACTAGTTAAATTATTAAGGTTTTCATATTTATTGCAGGCAATTTCTAAACATGAGACTTAAATTGTCTGGCATTAAAAAATGTCTTTTTTTGTGTGGTTTAGGCTTATAATATATATAATACTGTTATATACATGTGACAAAGGTAGAATACATAACCATGCTGACTTTAAAAAGCACTACGGGCTGGGCGAGGTGGCTCATGCCTGTTAACACCTGAGGTTGGGAGTTCGAGGCCTACCCCAACATGGAGAAACCCTGTCGCTACTAAAAATACAAAATTATCCTGGTGTGGTGGCGCACATCTGTAATCCTAGCTACTCAGGAGGTTGAGGCAGGAGAATCACTTAAACCAGGGGGTGGAGGTTGAGGTGAGCTAAGATTGCACCATTGCATTTCCAGCCTGGGCAACAAGAGCAAAACTCTGTATCAAAATAAATAAATAAAGCACTATAAGATTCATTAACTTATTCGTTCTACAAGTATTTATAGAGAATTACTTGAAGACACTGTGAGGAAAATGGTTCTTATCAGAGAGGTTAAAATCCAGAGGTTTCTGGAAAAACAAATTACCCAGAATCCTATAAAATAAGGTTTATATTAGAATAAACATTAACATGGTTATCAATGAAGGCCTGTGGACTATGACAAGAGGCAGATATGTCTAAGCAATTCTGAGAAGCTAAACAAAAATTACTCATTTGACACAGCTACCTACATCATAGTAGTCAGGATACTCTACATTTAGTTACTCTATCAGAAGAAACATACCATGAATAGCAACATCAATTAAGTACCTTGCTAGGTCTCGCCAGAGGTAGATAACAGAAGGAGTGGAACGAAATAAGACCTGAGCCTTTACCTTTCACTGGCTAGTGATCTTAACCAAGTTTTCTAGCCTCTCTGGGGTGGCCTGAGCCTTTACCTTTCACTAGTTAGATCTTAACCAAGTTTCCTAGCCTCTCTGGGCTAGAATTTCCTTTTTTTTTTTTTGAATATCCTTTGCTTTAGTGGATCTTCTCAACATCTCCAATAATTAGAAACATTATATACCAAGACAAACAAAAGATACGACTTAAAGCAAAGCCCATTTATAACCTTGGGGCCAGACACGGCATCAGATCAGGGTTCTGGGAACTAGGTGTTTCACATGCTGCCTCCAGTTACTGTGACAAGGCATTCTGGAGGTAACAGGAACGCTGACACCAGAGCAACACAGAGGTCAGGGCCTCCTGGTGCTTATACTCCAGGACTGTTCCATGTTAAAGCTATGGCATCTGATTGGTACGACGACCACCGCCAATTGCCTCCAAAGATAACGAACCTTTCCCTGACATCTCCACAGTTCCTGTAAGACCCTTGAAGTGCTTTATAAACTGCCCGTCAAATGTGCAAGATAAAGAACCTGTGAGCAATCTGAGACCAGCCTAACTAAAGATGCAGATGTGAACTGGAAATAAGGTTGGTGACTCAGGATGGAGTCAGGTATTTATGTTTAACACAAAGATCAGGAAATACTATGAAATAAAAACATTTACTTAAAAATAGGGATGGAGATTTTTCCTCCTCTATGCCCCCTTAACCCTGTATGCATTCCACAAAATTTATTTTTATACAGTAGAATTTACTTATACCTTTCCCATCCACATTAGCCTATTAACTCCATACTCCCAGCTCCCCGGCACAGGTCCTAGCACATGACGATTTGTTAAATCCTACTGAAGGACAATCTCACATGCTCCATTTACCTAGTACCCTTACCCCAGAAAGCACAAGCAGCCCTCTCCACATTTACTTATAAATTTTTGATCATTTCTATTTATACATTTTTAAGCTTTACATGTATATTTTTTTCTCACCCTTGCTTTGTAATATTTATTTATATTTTTACTTAATTTTTTTTTTTTTTTTTTTTTTTTTTTTTTTGTAGAAACAGGGTCTTAGCGTGTTGCATAGGCTGATCTCAAACTCCTGGGCTCAGGCAATCCTTCTGCCCTGGCCTCCCAAAGTGCTGGGATTATAGGTATGAGCTACCACACCTAGCCTTACTTATTTTTAGTAATAATTGGTAATTAAATCCTTTTAACAAAGATCATGTGGACATAATCTTTTAAGGTTCTGAATACCTACTTCTAGAATTTTCATAAAACATAATGTTATTTGCTCCAACTATGTCTTCCTAAAGCCATATACATGTTTACTTAGAAATAAGTATGCAAATTTTCTAAAAGACATGACTTAATTGGTACTGAAAAATTAAAATTATTCAATACCATGATTTTTGCATGATATGCTAATTGTGTGTCCAAATGTCTCACATCACGAAAATTAGTATCTCAATATATCCACTGCATGTAAATGTAAATGAAATCTGCTGGAAGAATTTGTGCCAAATCTCCAGCTTAAGGAGAAAGGATCTACACAAGAGAGGTGTGCAGGGAGACTTCCCCACTTCATTCCACATGTGGTACTTCTGCACTGTGGGGCTCTGTCAGAACATAAGTACTTTTTTAGGGGAGTGAATCCACCTTAATAAAATTTTAAAGTTCATGTTTTAACTTACAAACCACTGCATAATTTTAACCAATTAAATATGTTCTTTTTCTCTATTCAAATATCCAACCAACCTGGAAATGTTGAGCCCTTATGAAGAACACCTACAGAATTGGGCATTTTTCAACCTCCAACACTCACTTATGATTTGATTATAGACAAGACACTTTAAAAGACAAAAAACACAAAATAACTACAGGTCAGATTTCAACTTAAACATTCTCTCCCTAGATTTATCTTTCCTAAGTCACTTTTTAGGGAAGCAGAATACACAAACTCCTCTATGAACTTTCCAGTTTAAAAATGTCTCAGACAGAAACTAAGCTGTTACAGAATGAAATCTCTTAGCTGCAACCAAAAGACAGTCCTAACCAGCAGCAAAGTTATTTATTTCACATTCTCTACTAAAAGGTGTTTCCTAAGCTTGGCCCTAATTTTGAGTTTTAACATTATGAACTCTATTATGCCGTGGATCAAAAACAAGAAGAGTTTTACAATAGGAATAAAAGTCAAGGTAATCTAAAAATTGAAAATGGTAAGACAACCAAAAAAGGATTTGACAATTAAAAAAATAAATAAACCAGTAAAAAAGAATTTGCTGACATTTCCTTTTTTTTTGGAGACAGCGTTTCACTCTTTTGCCCAGGCTAGAGTGAAGTGGTGTGATCTCGGCTTACTGTAACCTCCACTGCCCCCAGATTCAAGCAATTCCCCTGCTTTAGCCTCCCAAGTAGCTGGCATTACAGGCATCTGCCACCACACCCAGCTAATTTTGTATTTTTTTTTTTAGTAGAGACAGGATTTTATCTTGTTGGCCAGGCTGGTCTCGAACTCCTGACCTCAGGTGATCCACCCACCTCGGCTTCCCAAAGTGCTGGGATTACAGGTGTGAGCCACTGCGCCCAGTCAGATTTGCTGACATTTCTCATGAGAAAGAATATAAATGCAATATCTATGAAATCATAAATTAGCAAGCAAGGATAAAAAAATGACTAATTAAATGGAAAATTTTCAAGTGCACAGCTAGAGAATCAATGTGAACATCAAATATCAATTAGCCTGATATAATTTAGAATAGGGTGAGGCAGCTGCTGATGCACAAAACACACCTGACTACAGAGAAAATCTTTTCCGATCAATAAAATTCAAGAAAGGATGATAGGCTGCTATGTATAGACCTTCTACTAATACCTTCTTCTTCTAACACTTGTGAAGTGTCAAGGATACAGATCACCTGCCTCAACGTTTTCCAATGACATCAAAACTGTCTATGTTTGAAAGAGATGCCTGATAGAATATAAACTAGAAATCATGGCCAGGTACAGTGGCTCACCCCTGTAATCTCAGCGCTTTGGGAAGCCGAGGCGGGTGGATCACCTGAGGTCAGGGGTTCGAGACCAGGCTGGCCAACAAGGTAAAATTCTGTCTCTATGGAAAAAAAACACAAAACTAGCCAGGTGTGGTGGCACGTGCCTGTAATGCCAGCTACTTGGGAGGCTAAAGCAGGAGACTCGTTTGAACTCGGGAGGCGGAGGTTGGAGTAGGCTGAGGTTGCACCACTGCACTTGAGCCTAGACAAGAGCAAAATTCTGTCTCAAAAAAAAGGAAGAAAGAAATGAGGACAAGAATATGCCTGGGTTTAAATGGTGGAAGGATGAACTGATTTTCCTACCTGGAAGAAATACATTGAGGGAAGGCAATATTAAGTCTCCCTTAACAATCATTTTGAACTTACTATAACCTTTTGAATGCCACTTCTCCTCAAGCAGGAAAATGTCTACATTATGCTACTGGAGTGTGGAAATCTGTCCTCACAGCTAATAAAAGACAGAAAACTTTGAGTAAAAGAAAACTAGAACAGGGCCAGGTACAGCCTTTCTATTTATACAAGTCCAAAAATAAAAGAATTCACCACTGGCTGGGCATGGTGGCTTTCACCTGTAATCCCAGCACTTTAGGAGGCTGAGGCAGGGGGGATCACTTGAGGTCAGGAGTTTGAGACCAGCCTGGCCAACATGGTAAAACCCCATCTCTACCAAAAATAACAAAAATTAGCCAGGCATGGTGGCACTCACCTGTAATCCCAGCTACTAGGAGGATGAGGAATGAGAATCACTTAAAACCAGGAGGTGGAGGCTGCAGCTAGCCAAGATCATACCACTGCACTCCAACCTGGGCAACGGAATGAGACCCTGCCACAAGAAAAAAAAAAAAAAGAATTCATCTTTATCATTTATTCTATTTATATAAAGTCAAAACATCAAAGAAATCACCATTTAAGAACCACAAAAGGCTGGGTGCAGTGGCTCACACCTGTGATCTCAGCATTATGGGAGGCCACAGTGCATGGATCACTTGAGCCCAGGGGTTCAGGATCAGCCTGGCCGACATGGCAAAACCCTGTCTCTACTAAAAATACAAAAATTAGGCAGGCATGGTGGCGGGCGCTTGTATTTCCAGCTACTCGGGAGGCTGAGGCATGAGAATCACCTGAACCCGGGAGATGGAGGCTGCAATGAGCTGAGATCACTGCACTATGTCTAACAAAAAAAGAACCACAAAAACAACAGGCACAAAAATCAAGATAGTGGTTAGCTCCTAGGGAAATGGGTAGGCTTGTGAACTCAGCGGGCCATGTGTTTCAGGGGGGTTATAGTGAACGCTGACAAAGTTCTATTCCATTAATATTCTTTACCTATGTGATAATGTAATTGCATTACAGTTGTGCAATGGCATATTTTATGAACTTGTCCATATTTGTGTTATATATATATTCACACCCCCCCAAGTGCACGCTAAAAGTGCAAATAATAAAGCACATTTGAAACAATGTGGGGGGACCTGCTTTTTCCTTTTCAAAATATTTACATTTTATGGCCCTTAAAATTTCCAGTTAAGATGTTAAGGCTCAGAAGTAAATTTTATATTCTTGGGCAAAATAACAGGGAAAAGGAAGGAATGTTCCTTGTAAGAGTAACACAGCCTTTTACTTTCCAAAACAAAATTTAAATCAAAAGATTATACTCTTTAATCATTATTTTTGCATACTTTTTTTTTTTTTTAATTTTGGGGGAAGAGAAAGTTCATGATCAGGTGAAGAATAACTGGCCCAACCACCAGCTGGGCATGGTGGCTCACACCTGTAATCCTAGCACTTTGGGAGGCCAAGGTGGGAGCGCTGAGTGAGCCCAGGAGCTCAAGACCAGCCTGGGCAACGTAGTGAGACCCCATCTCTACAAAAACAGTAAAAAAAAAAAAAAATCAGCCAGGTGTGGTAGCACATGCCTGTAGTCCCAGCTACTCAGGAGGCTGAGGTGGGAGGATCTCTTGGGCCCAGGAAGATTAGGCTGTAGTGAGCTGTGGTCACACCACTGCACTCCAGCTTGGGTGACAGAGTGAGACCCTATCTCTAAAAATAAATTATAAAAATAAAAGAATAACTAAACCATATTACATGGATGAAATATAACAGTGACTGAAGGAGTCACTTTACTGGGAAATCATCTATTTCAAAACCACTTAAAACCCAACAAATTAACTGTCTATACTGTACAATGATGAAAAACACATTTCAATTATCTTTTTATCTCATGTTCATTCTCCCTCTTCTTGTAGGCATCTATAACCAACTCCTTTTCCCTCTCTGCTCATTATTTTAGTTAAAATATCCTTAAAAGCACCTAAGGACTTGCTTAGCCCAATCTCACCAACATACAAGTAGCCTTAACACTTTTAACTTTAATTAAGATTCCCGCCCCAAATCAATCCATAATGTTCCACAGAAAAATTAGCTATGTAATTCAAAGGCAGAATCTGTATCAGTTATCCTCAAGATATACTGGAAAGCATAGGGAATTGGACGTTTAAGATACTATATTCAAGCCTGTGCTCCATCAATTACCACCTGTGTGACCCTGGGCAAGTCAAGTAATTATTTTTGTCCCACTGATCTGATAGACTTGATTGAGGTATCAAATAGCATAAAAAATATAAAAACTTTGCAAACTATGAAGCCTTCTAAAATGTCATCATCCTTTTACGTATCTTCAGTGCCCAGAACATAGCTGGCTTAACAAACGTTCCTTACTGCCTACTGCAGTTGTAATGAATTAAATGATTTTCTGTTGGTCTAAAGAACTCTACTGTTCTTGCATCCACATTCGGCTTAATATTAACAACTGAATTAGGCACTGAGATCAAGCTGAACCACTATCTTATGAAATCAGAACTTTACTAAAGAATGTATGCCCCACATAATGACGGCTGCCCTTCTGTGGCCCCAGCAGATTGCTAGAGAAGGCAGCACTAGTTAGTCTAGCAGATCACTGTCACGGAGGAATGCAGGAAACTAGGCTTCGGGGTATCCTAGAGAAATCAACAATCTGCATTGTTACACACAGCTCTCAATCCACAAATGTAGACAATCTAATGAAAAACACGCTTCCAGCCCACTCACTGAACTTGCTGTTCACCCTCCACCAAGCGTCCTCTTCCCCCCCGAAATCACACAGCTTGCTCCCTCGCTGCGTTCAAGTCTCTGCTCTAATGTCCCCATCCTCAGGGAGGCCTTCCTTGGCCACTCATTCGAAAAGAGCAGCACACACACAGGTACTCCAAGCTTCCGATGCCCTTATCCTGTTTTCATTTATCACTATCTCTTCTTAGAAGCACGGGCATTAGATTTTTTTTTAACCTGTTTAGTGTCTGTTTCTACCATTATAACGGAAAGAAAGGAATTTCTTTTGTTCGCCAACTGTATTTTCCCAAAGGCTAAATTAGTCCTTGACAGATACTAAGTACTCAATAAATATTCGTTGAACGAAAGGTTATCAAGCACTGATTGCCATAAAAGAGGTGATGAACTTGAAAATGTAGATAATAATGTATTTGAAAATAGTTACACGGGAAAGTTCTTCCGTAACCTTGAACGTGTTCTCACTTTTCAACAAGTTTATCAATTTTAGAATATTGATCAAGCCGCCATTAAAAGGATACGAGAAGCGGTCGTTCCATGTTGCTCTTTCGACGTATTCCAACATGACCACAGCTTTTATTGTTGTCAAAAGTTTGTTCCATGTTTCATCAAAATCTACTACTCTTGGTTTCAAAGACATTGTGCAAGTGTAGTGTTGAAATCTGTCAATTGAGAACAATAACAATGTCAGCATGAATTCCACAAGCTTAGTTATTTGTTTTTAAAGTGCTGCATAATTAAATAGCATGACATATGCAAGGAGTGAGAAAGTGCCCGGTACACAACAAAACGTTAGCTACCATCTTTCCAAGACCACCCAGACAAGAAACATCACAGACTATTTAATAATCATTACAAACTCTAGGAACTGGAAGGTTTCTAGTACAAACTATTTATGATGAAGGGTATAGTTTCAAAGATTTATAGCTCTCATTTAATATTGTGAGGGAAAGAAACTGGGACCCACTTAAGCAAAAAGCCAACTTCCAAATAATGCAAGATATTCAACCAAAAGGTTTTGACACCAAATCCTTGTGGTTTGCACTCCTGAAAGTGGGGAATAAGGTAGCATGCAATGAAATATGAGAAGATACAGGAAAATGAAAGGGTTTAACTTCCTGAAGCATTAGTTTTGGTATTAGATTACAGAAGAAATTTACATTTATATTAAACCAAACAGGGATGAATTGTGGAGAATATAAAATTCACATGACCTTTTAAGATTTAGAAAAAAGATTTCAAAGAAATGTCAGGTTTGCAGTGGAGAGCTTAAGGCTCCCTCCCAGATTCTTGGGGTATCCACCTCCCAGTTCTAATGAAAAGCATGACTCTAGCAATGGAACCCCTGGCTCCAGTGAATTTGGTGAGTGTTTACGGGAGTTCAAAGACTCCTGCCTTGCAGACAAACTGCATTTAAGAGTTAGCTGGTTTCTGGAACAAAAGGGTCCCAAGGTTATAGAAACTTGGTTCAAGCTAGATTCTAAATCTTTCCCAATATTGCATCAGATAATCAGAATTAAAAGAGAAACTTTCTAAGTGAAATTTAATTGCTCAAAAGAACGTTTTTCTGGCAAATGTTTTAACAACCTCCCTCAAGTCTCCCCTTATTAGCAGGACTGTGAGGCACCAACCTAGCCTGCAGCCAAGGCCAAAAAAGGATGAAACCTCTTTTCTCCTGTCTCCCACCATGGGGGAAAGGGGAGGCAGAGAACAGGGAGGAGGGGACGATGCAGAAAGAGAACGAGCAAGGCAGTGGGGAGGATGGCAGCTGCACCGCCAGCCACAGCCCAGGAGAGGCCCTTCTACGTTCCCGGCTAAGAACTCAAGGAATCCCAGGAATAGCCTCCATGGAAAAGAGAAAAAAAAAAATCAGAGAAAAGTCAGATATCCAAAAGAGGGTATGCCATGTTGAATCACACCCTCTTTCCTCAACATACCAAAGCCTCCACCTCCTGGCCTTCAACTCATTCCTGAACTATGTAGAACGGACCTGCAGTGATTTTACTGTGCAAAGTTGGAGAGAAGGTGGCAGTGGACGAGGTGGGAGAACCACTGAGTTTCCCAAGCTCTAAATAAGGGCATTAACCATACCTCTTTCTCTCCCTTGCTCGCCACATCCTATCATCAACTGTGCACATGAGTATTTCCTGAATCCATCCACTCCTGTGTAGCCCCACAAATGCTCTGGAATCAGGTCCTCAGCAGAAATAGTAACAGCTGTTAACATTTACACAGTATATACTGTGAGCCAAGCACCCTGTATCAACTCGTTTAATTCTCCCAGCATTCTGACAGGTAGTCCCCCTGTTATAATTTTCTGAATATGAAAACTGAGTGGCAGGTGATTCAGAAACGTGCTTAAGGTCACAGAGCTCTGTAATGGTGACATCAGGATTCAGACCTGGGTTGCGGCATGTGCTCGGCTGCTGTGTGCAGCTGTGCTGCCTCACTAATGTGCTTGCTGGTCCTTGCTAAGCACCATTCCAAGTTCTGAGGATATGGTGGGCAGAAACAAAGTTCTTGACTTCAAGATCAGAATCTTAGCTCTTGCCCTTATCAAAGACACAAAAATAACCTACCTAGGCCAAAAGTTGACCATGTTACTTTGTACATAAAGCTGTTTGTTGTTTCCTTTTACAGATAGCACTCAGTTTAGGCTCAACTGCAACGTGGCACCCAAGCTCCTCCTCTCCTGGGACTACCTACCATGACAAGAGAATCCAGGAACTTCTCACTGCTTGGAGATCACTGAACACATCAGCCTGATTCATACATTTGCCTTTACTCTTACTAGTTTCTCTACCTAAAGTGCTTCTCTTTTCCTTAGCCATTCCACCTAACTCTTACTGATAGTCTAACGTTGTTCCATCAGCCTTTTTCTTTTCCTTTTTTTTCTGAGACAGAGTCTCCCTCTGTCACCCAGGTTGGAGTGCAATGGTGAGATCTCAGTTTACTGCAACCTCTGCCTCCCGGGTTCAAGTGATTCTCCTGCCTCAGCCTCTCAAGTAGCTGGGATTACAGGCACAACTCACCACACTTGGCTAATTTTTGTATTTTTAGTAGAGATGGGGTTTCACCATGTTGGCCAGACTGGTCTCGAACTCCTGAGTCTCAAATGATCTGCTCGCCTTGGCCTCCCAAAGCGATGGAATTATAGGTGTGAGCCACTGTGCCCAGCCTACATCTGCTTTTAAGAAACTTTCTGGGACCATTTAAGCCACGGAAGGTGTCCTATCATAGGTATTATCTGAGAACTCCACACTTTCGTCTGCTGGAGCACTTCATCACTCTCAACTAGAATTACCTGAATGTTTCTGAGAGTGGGGACAATTCTGTTAACTGCCTATCAAAAAGCTGGCGATGCTCCCCTCACATTCACCTTCTCCTCTTATAAAATGAAATCATATTAAACACACTGCTTGCAAATTAGTTTAAGAGCTGCACAGATTTTTTTTTTGCTTTATGGAATCAGACTGACACTGACTTCTCTATTGAGACCGATAGATTTATGGTTCTATTAGGAAAATACATGGTTACAATCCATGCTTGGATGGATAGAAACTCTGGAAGCCAAGGTGAGAGAAGCACTGGCCTCCTGCAACACACCAAAACTGATAGCCCAACAGCAGGAAGTATGCTGCAACAGTCTGTCAGATTCTCTGCTTGCTAGCTATATAAGTAGGAAAATTAAGTTTCTTTTGTTTTCTTGAAATTGTTTAATAACAACATTCATGGAAAGTTTACATAAGGATGTGAAAGAGACAGGACAAAGAAAGAAAGAGGACCATGGCAGGGTGCCATGGCTCACGGCTGTAATCCCAGCACTTTGGGAGGCTGAGGCAGGCGGATCATCTGAGGTCAGGAGTTCAAGACCAGCCTAACCACTATGGTAAAACCCTGTCTCTCCTAAAAATGCAAAAATTAGCCAGGGGTGGTAGCACGTGCCTGTAGTCCCAGCTACTCGGAAGGCTGAGACAAGAGAATTGCTTGAACCTGGGAGGTGGAGGCTGCAGTGAGCCGAGATTGTGCCATTGCACTCCAGCCTGGGTAACAGAGCGAGACTCCATCTCAAAAAAAGAGAAAGAAAGAAAAAGAAAGAGGACCACAGCCACACTACTTTACTTTCTACCTCCCAAGCTGTCAAATAATTCATAAATCTATCAGTCTTGTTCTTCATTACTGTGCCTTAACGAGATTCTCATGTGCACTCAGATTGCGTCCCATCAGGTAACTGCAAATCCAAGTCTCCTGAAATCACCACAGTCCCCTTTGGCTTTCTTGTGAGTTCCACTCTTGCAACGATGGAGTTTTAGCACACACAGGTACAGTGCCTAGGGCATAAGACTTATGGGACCTAAAACACATACACACACACACACACACACACACACACTCTTTCTCCACATTTTTTAAAACTGTTAAATAAAAATTTATATTTAATTACCTGTTTCCATAAAATATTAAGTCAACATTAATATAATATTTGCAACATTTTTGTTACATTTGAAAACACCTGTAGATTAGATTTCCTAAGTGCGTAATTTCTAAATATGCACGATTGTCAATAACAATCTCAAAAGTGAATTATAAAATGCAGTTACCATATGACTCGGCAATTCCACTAAGAAAAATAAAACTCCCAAGAGAAATACAACATATTCACGTAAAAACTGGTACAGAAATGTTCACTGCAGTATCATTTATAAAGGCCTTTGAAACAGCCCAAGTGTGTATCAACTGATAAATGGTTAAATTAAATGTGATATATCCATACAATAAATTATTATTTGGAAATACAAGGCAATAGAGTACCCATACACACCACCACATGGATGAACCTCAAAAACATTGTACTAAGTGAATGAAGAGGGCCACAAAACAGCCACATAATGTACAACTCTATTTATATGGAGGATCAAGAATAGGCAAATCTATAGAGACGGAAAGTAGATGAGTGGTTGCCTAGGGAACTTGGGGAAAGTGGGAAATGACTGCCAATAAGGTGATGACAATGCTCGAAAGTTGACTGTCAGCCGGGCACGGTGGCTCATGCCTATAATCCCAGCACTTTGGGAGGCCGAGGCGGGTGGATCACGAGGTCAAGAGATCGAGACCATCCTGGTCAACATGGTGAAACCCCGTCTCTACTAAAACTACAAAAAATTAGCTGGGCAAGGTGGCGCATGCCTGTAATCCCAGCTACTCAGGAGGCTGAGGCAGGAGAATTGCCTGAACCCAGGAGGCGGAGGTTGCGGTGAGCAGAGATCGCGCCATTGCACTCCAGCCTGGGTAACAAGAGCGAAACTCTGTCTCAAAAAAAAAAAAAAAGAAAGTTGACTGTCATGATAGCTGCACAACTATACACTAAAAACCACTCCATTGTGTGTTCAAACTGAATGGTATGTGCAGTATATCTCAATAAAGCTGCTATACATTTAAAAGTGAATTCTAAAAATCATACCAAAAATTTTACGGCACTGTAACGGGGATGTGGTGGAAATAAGTATTAATACATCCACATGGTCGCTTAGCATAAAATTCTGAAATCTCAATCTCTCTCCCACCACTCCTGTGTATGACCTAGTTGCCACCTCCCATCACCAGAGGCAATAAGTTTTCTATGTTCCTGGGTGTATTTTAGACATATATGTTGATTTGTTAT